ATATATATATATATATATATATATATATATATATATATATATGATAAAGATACCATATAATATATATAGTATATAGTATATAGTATATAGTATATAGTATATAGTATATATATTTAATATAATAAAGATACAATATATGTTTTATTGTACTCACGACATAGCTGGTAAGCTTCGTCTGCACCGTTCGGACAATCCTCGAGGCCGTCGCACTGGAACTTCTGCAGGATGCACATCGACAGATTCCCGCACGGAAACTCTCCCAGTGGACACGAGAAATCAGCGCTAACTGTTAAAGAAAACACACAGACATCCGAGGTCATGTTCCGGTCAAACGTAAACCGATTCTTTTTAAAGGCGTCTTCTCCGTTCTCAAATTGCGCAGGTTAAAAGTTACCGTCAGCTAAAATTTCTGGAGGCGCGCTTGCATATGTTTTACATTATGCAGGTACGTTTGACAGGCATTGCAAACCCGTTCGCAATTATTTTTAAATTTTTCCATTTTTCGGTAATTTCCCGTTTTTTGCCTAGGAAATGGAGCACGATGTGCCCAAATTATAGATGGCGTTTTTTTACCTATTTTCCGTCAGGTGTTACATCATTCTCCGCTCTTACTTCCATCGTATTACTTCCAAAATAGCCATTCATACGCTATTTATAGCCAAATGGCCATTTTTCCGCTCACTGCTCCCGCAACATGCGCTCGGAGTAGCTGCATTTTCTCGCGGATTTTAAAAAATAAAGGTGGAAATTTCGACATTGTGCGCGTGTGTACGTATTTCCGCAGATTTTTCGAGCGTGCATTTCGCTCTGTTCGCACTGTGTCGACACTCACGCGCAGTTGAATGAGCAGGAGCGATAGCGCTTGTGGGTTTTGTTGATTATATATATGGCGCACGTGGAATTGACTGTGTGGAGGGGAAATGAAGCCTTTCTCGCGAGACAGAGGCTCGTGTTTCCATACATCGATGGCAAATTGTCAGCTGTCGTTAAGCGAATTCTCATTGTCAGCGATGGTGATGCTGAATACGCCCTAATGGTTGGTGGGTCGACTTATATATTATATAATATATAAATATTATTATATAGGGTTTTAACTTAGTTAAATAGTTTTTTAAATGTGATTATATGATTACAGAATAAACTTTCACATAAATTAATATATTAATCATATAAAATCATTAGAAATCAATATATAATAATTAATGATAATTTAATGCAAATATGCAACTTAACTGTATAATTTTACTTATTCAACACGGAATTTTTACGTGTAGGCCAACCTACATTGTGTATTGCGTATAAGTACATTAAATTTTAGCCATCGCTATCCGCTTGCCACTTTGGCTAGAGCGGGAGGGGGGCACACCCTGGTCGAGATCTCGCGCCTGTCCACAAGATCTGACAAGATACACACATCTACCTGATCACACGACAAGATGCATCACAGCTCTTCCTCACACGTGACAAGGTACACACGTTTCCCCGACGCACTGGGGGCCATATCAATCAGACAAGGCCTACACCAGAAGCATGTATCCCACCTCGGTCAACATAATCTTGTGGTTGTATTGGGTCGACGTAAATTACAACGAAGTTGAAGTCTACCATCGATTCAATATGACAAGTCAAATATCTACCGATTGCAGTCGAGCGTGATCAACTAGTCCCCTACTTGATACGACTCGACACACATCTATCCATTAATACAAGGTAGGGGATCAACGTCCAAGATAGGCACAAGCGCGCGCGAACACACACATGGACATACATACGCACGCACGCGCACACACACGCGCGCATACACACGCGCGCACACGCACACGAACACACACATGCACACACCCGCACACGCGCTCACACACACGCGCGCACACATACGCACGCACGCACACATCACACACACACAACACACACACACACACACACACACACACACACACACACACACACACACACACACACACACACACACACCCGAAAACATGTCATGCTGGGTCAAAGAAGAAGAGAAGAAGAAGAAGAAGAGAAGAGAGAGAAAAAGAAAAAGAAGAAGAAGAAGAGCGCGATATTTGATCGTCGGTCGAGGGTGGCCGGCCACGTTGTGGGCGGGCTGTCTGCGCCCGTGTAGCTAGGGTCGCTACACTCAATTCCATATTGGGTGTAAACAACGAGCTAATCGATCAAATATCAATAATCCCGGCCGCTTCACAACAGCAATTGTCATCAGCGTCGTCATCGAGAAACCCGCAAACTTTGTAACACAACCGCCGTCGCTCAGCGGTTGACATGCCAGGCCAGCATTAAGCAATCAGCGTTGCCGCAGGAGTCTAGAAAAGCTACGCTTAGCACGTAAATGTGCGCAAGTCGAAATTTGGTGTCGCGCGCTGAATTACACCAATTTTTTATATAAATTAGGTACGCGTATCCACATCAGCGTTGCCGTCTTCTTACTTCTTTTCTTCTTTCTTTTTCTTCCTAATACCCTTCAGTCTCCTGGAAGACACAGGTCAATTGTGGGCGGAACTTTCCTCAATGTTCGCTCGGTTGTATTTCCTTCCGCCTCCATTTCGCCTTCCCGATGATGACGAGAGAGAGGGGCGGCGTTAGCCGTAGGACGTATCTAAAAGCCCAGCGCTTAGCACGGAACCTGTAGCGGCTATAGTGGACAATTGGCACGCCACGGCGTTGCTATTACAATTACCTATATAAATTAGGCAAGCTTCATTTGACCTAACAATATATGGAGAAGGGCGTGCGTTCTGGCCCGATCGCTTAAAACTGATAGGTCAGCACGCCATCGGAATGGTTTCTGCGCCACGAGTAGGTAAATCTCACGAGGGATCCTCCAGTCCCAAGGAGCTGAGTTATGGTCCATAGAATGGCGCCCTTGAGGCGAACGCGCACAGCCACCGCTTACCTCTCCTTGTTCTATATTTAGATCCTTGCTCCAGCCATCCCAGCTGGACGCAAGAGAGAAAGGTGTTGTTGACTAGTCAACCGATACCCGGTGAGGCACTAACCTCTACGGTCGCTACGTGCGGGTTTAAGTCCCTTGATAAGCAGCACTCCGCAGAGCTCGCTCTAAATTCAAAATTTGAATTTCGAATATTGAGTGAGTCTTGTAGACTTTCATCGTTGTAACTGCGGGGAATGCGTGTGACGATGAGACAGGAGGGGAGAGGGGATCGGATCGCGGACGTCGTAGACACAAAATTTAGTCTTAACACTAGTCTTAATTAAGCTTATTTCTCGAGACATTGTTGACAGAATCTTTGTTTTGTGACTTAATGAGGAAATCCTAGTTAGCATTTTTTTTTTTTCGTAAACTTTACGATGTTTCCTTCACGAGATCTAAGAGAAAGAAGTCAATGTATAGGACTAAGTGTTAACACTAATTCCTGTTTTCTGACAGCGGGCCCGGAGCCATCGTATAGATTCTAAGCGCGTCGCGTGGTCATAATTTCTAATCCAAATCGATGATGCTGGGTGAGAGGGCAAGTCCGATCGTTATCGTTACAATCCGAATCAAAGCGACAGAAGGAGAGACGCAATACTAGATTGGAAAATTTAGGTTTCGCATCGAAGTGGTTTCGTTATTTTCGTACGAATCAACACTTGCCTGCGATAAAACTTCGTATTTCCCCGAATCACCACCCTCTTCCCACCTTACCGTTGTCTTAGCTTCCCATTTCCGTTTTTTCGTCGATCTGCGTGTGTTTATGTGTCTATAGCGAGGGTGACGGGGGCTGATGGCAATCGAAACGTAAAGGCTTCACCACCGATTATATTGATACTGCTGATATTGTGTTTGACGTTTTGGCGTTTTCTTCCCTGTCCGCAAATGGAAAATTGACTCTGATATATATCATGGTCGAAACCGGGTAAGTGCCGCGTGTCTGTGCTCTCTGCTGTGTGATGAGCGTGGGTGTATGTGTGATATATGCACCCGTGTGTGCGTCTTGCGTGCGTGCTGGTGTGTTGTTGTTCGTTCCGTTAGGCGTGTTGACGTGGATGGCGCGGTTTGTACCTTTATCGTACGTGCGTCCGTGCGTGAGTGCTGTGTGTGCGTGCATTGTATGGGGGGGGGGGCCCGGTGTTGGTGCGCGGTTGTATGTGTGGTCTGGTGTGTGGCGTGCGTTTCGCCTACGTGACAGACGTGCGTGTATTGCTTACGTACGTGCGTGCGTTCGTGCGTTGCGTGGGTCCGTACGTAGTTACCGGGGATCTATCTAGTCTCGTCTGTGACCAGTCTCCGACTGATTTATTTTGTTAGGTCGCAATTTAACTGGCGCCTCGTTTCTGTCTTGCAACAGTGTACTTCGACCCGCGTCAACCAGACCACCCGGACTAACATTTGCGGCCAAAGTGCCACGGTAATAACCGCGGTTGTGCGGGCGCATAGCCAGTAATAACGGTACTTTCGAATTCATCTCTCAGTTTCCTTCTCGCGGTATTTGCCAACGCGTAACGCGTTAAGCAACTAGCGGCAAATACGTGATAGACATGATAGCCTACCGCCTGCTTATCAAAAGCAAAATGCCCAGTCGGTATTACTCCAGATGTAGTCGTTTCAGGAGAATATATTTTACATTCTCTTATATTATACACTCTTGTATTATATATAATATTCAGGAGTAGCATAAAGGTTCCCTAATATATATAATAATATATAAAGCATGCGGTACATGTGTGTGCGAGCATGAGTGCGCGTGGGTTGGTCGGTTGTCATTACACGCAGCCGGCACACGCATTGTAATTATTGAAAACTACGCACCGAGCTGCATGCCAACACGGTGCCGTTCCAACTGCTCTCCCTTGCAATTTTTACGTGTATGTGTTTACCTGTACATGATCATGTACTAGTAACACGTGAGCACCGCTGGTGTAATGGTATCATGGAAGATTCCCATTCTTTCGACCCGGGTTCGATTCCCGGGCGGTGCAGTAGTTTTGGTTTTCCACGTGTCGCTTTCCGTCATTTTACACCCGTTTCTAATATACGCGCGTGCGCGTACATACACGCACGCACCCATTTGCACACCGACGCATACGTACACACATGAGAGCACGCATACCGGGCGTGCACATACACGTATGCGTGCACTTACACATAGTCGAGCACATACACACAAGCGTGCACGCACACGCATACATACATAAACATGCGTGCGCGCGCTCGGCCGTACACGCGGAGGGAACTTACTGCCGTAAAAATTGCTGAAAACGACTATATAAAGTTGTCATTTTAAACGTTACCCCACGAACGTATCGTGTGAACAATCATATTCATGGCGGCGAGTGATGTAGATATCTAACATGCACCAGCATTGCAGTAACCCAAGGTGCGTCAATTACTGGCCTGCAGAAACACTTTTCGCGTTTACACTGAATTACTAAACCGAACTTAACTAACGCAAACAATAGAAAGCACACACACCGAGCACCGCCAAACAAACAGAGAGCAGCACCCACACACCACACACACACACAGCACAACAACACACACAACACACACACAAACACACACACCACAACAACACACCAACAACACACAACACAAAACACACCAAGAGCAGCAACACACCGCACACAACACACGCCGCGCAACACACACACACACACACACACACACGCACGACACCACACACCACACACACACACGCACACGCCCGCACGCACGGCACGCCACGCACAGCCAGCACGCACGCCCACACACAACAACACACAACTATACGCGCCATGGCGCTTAGCGATTAACGCTGGAATAACGTGAATTTTTTGAAACTAAACTCAACGATGAACATCGAGACATTCATCAACGAAGCCAGGACAATTCACGAAATCATGGGGAGATGACCGGGTGCGGTCTACACTCCGTGAGCCGCGTCTCGCCAAATTCTCAGCAACTCTAACATCTCTACTCACGCTCACAGACGATTTACTGCTGGATCAGTGTCCTGTGACGTCGCTTTATGCTCACCTACCCAGCCTATTTATTACAGGGGAATTGTCATTGTGACTCACTTTTCTACTCTACCCAGGGTTTACTATGGTAGTGTCTGCCGAATTCCATTTCCTCTTAATCACTACGCACATAACTTTTACTATACGGTCAGGAGTGTGATGACGTCATATCTTATTTCCCCACAGTTTACTTGGCGGAATTGTCTGTGGACGTCACTTCTCTGACTCACCACCCGTTGCCGACACTGTGAGCGCAGCGTCCGTGACGATCACCTATCCGGACCCTCATCGCGTGTGTATTACTTTTCCGGCGACGTATAGCTGACCTCGACATCTCCAGGCTCACATAGGCCGCTGTTTACTGTCGCCCAATATAAATTGTATATTAACGCGACTCCGTGATCTGTTCCGCGCTGACAAGACAAGGCTAACTCCGTCTTTCTATGTAGCCAGCATCATGTCCTCTCCTCTCTTTCGTCAATCTCTCTCTTTCTCTCATCTCTCTCCTCTGTCTCGCTCGTCTCTTGTCTCTCTTTCTTCCTCCTCTCTCTCTCTCCATCTCTATCTCTTCTCTCTCGCTTCTCTCTCTCTTCTCTTCTCTCTCTTGCCAACTCTCTCTCTCTCTCTCTCTCTCTCTCTTCTGT